AAATGTGAATCGTAGCCGGATAAATTATGGAAAACGATTGGAATGTAATATGAATTTTTGTAATTTAAGTTGCAATTTGAATGCGCTGGACCTTGGTAGCGGCCGGTGAAGTGACAATAATAGCGTACGCACGTATCCTCTGCTGTGAATGGTTTCTCACACACGTGACATTGTATTGCATTGCGAAATATCGCCCACTGTTCTTTCGACAATATTTCCATGGGGACATTGGATGATAATATTACTTTTACGCGGTATGCTATTCGAATCGGTATGCTTTCTTCGAATTGCCCGACGAACCATGGTACGCAGTCACTATCACGACGACTTTGAAATTCGGATAATGAATCGTCGTACGAGCAACGTATATAATATGCTATACTAAATACCCTGTGGTGTTGGTATGTGTACAATTTGCAATCCTCCCCATCTCTTGTCGTCTGCTCCAGTGTGCACTCTAGGTCGGCGTATATAACAAAGGGAACTCGCTCCTTCCTGCTGTGATTGCTAAAATTCCATCATTTATTGTCTTCGCTGGGCAGAATGATGGCACAGTCGTTAATTTTTTGGCATTCTACCGCGTGACTTTCCAGCCTCCTGCTGGAATGGAAGTAGTGCAGACACCTACAAACATTGCAATTTTTATCGCCTTATTGCATACTTCTGATACAATGAATTCGTGAAATGTGCTTACCGATCGCAAATGTATTTTTTATGAGCTTTTTTGCTCAACTGTGAGCTCACCCCTTATAGAAATATCATACTAAGAATCATTGATAATTACTTATTTTCAGTATTAAAAATGCTGGATAATAAGTAATTATCAATGATTCTTAGTATGATATTTCTATAAGGGACGTTCGTGTAATGGGGATATAATGATGCGCGATCTGCGTGTCTTTCGGCTGGATACACAGCCGCAACTATTGCCCACGCGAAACATGCATTGTCCGGAGATTTGACATTAATCACAGCCCGCATCAGCTGTATCACACGCGGTAACTCGAGGTGACGTATTTGCGCGGTGTGCTATTTCTTCGAGTTGCCCGACGAACCATGAGACGCAGTCACCATCGCGACGACTTTGAAATTCGGATAATGAATCGTCGTACGAGCAACGTATATAAAATGCTATACTAAATACCCTGTGGTGTTGGTATGTGTACAATTTGCAATCCTCCCCATCTCTTGTCGTCTGCTCCAGTGTGCACTCTAGGTCGGCGTATATAACAAAGGGAACTCGCTCCTTCCTGCTGTGATTGCTAAAATTCCATCATTTATTGTCTTCGCTGGGCAGAATGATGGCACAGTCGTTAATTTTTTGGCATTCTACCGCGTGACTTTCCAGCCTCCTGCTGGAATGGAAGTAGTGCAGACACCTACAAACATTGCAATTTTTATCGCCTTATTGCATACTTCTGATACAATGAATTCGTGAAATGTGCTTACCGATCGCAAATGTATTTTTTATGAGCTTTTTTGCTCAACTGTGAGCTCACCCCTTATAGAAATATCATACTAAGAATCATTGATAATTACTTATTTTCAGTATTAAAAATGCTGGATAATAAGTAATTATCAATGATTCTTAGTATGATATTTCTATAAGGGACGTTCGTGTAATGGGGATATAATGATGCGCGATCTGCGTGTCTTTCGGCTGGATACACAGCCGCAACTATTGCCCACGCGAAACATGCATTGTCCGGAGATTTGACATTAATCACAGCCCGCATCAGCTGTATCACACGCGGTAACTCGAGGTGACGTATTTGCGCGGTGTGCTATTTCTTCGAGTTGCCCGACGAACCATGAGACGCAGTCACCATCGCGACGACTTTGAAATTCGGATAATGAATCGTCGTACGAGCAACGTATATAAAATGCTATACTAAATACCCTGTGATGTTGGTATGTGTACAAATTGCAATCCTCTCCATTCCTTGCCGTCTTCTCCAGTGTGCACTCTAGGTCGGCGTATATCACAAAGGGAACTTGCTCCTTCTTGCTGTGATTGCTAAAATTCAACCATTTATTGTCTTCGCTAGGTAGAATGATGGCACAGTCGTTAATTTTTTGGCAGTCTACCGCGCGACTCTCCAGCTTCTCGTTGGAATGAAAGTAGTGCAGACACCTACAAACATTGCATTTTTTATCGCCTTATTGCATACTTCTGATAAATTAAATTCGTGAAATATACTTACCGATCGCAAATGTATTTTCTGCCTTTATACTTGTTCAACTGCGAGCTCACGAGCCGGGATAAATCCTTGATTTAGGCGAAGTGTTCCGTGTTGT